TCCAGAGATACTTGTGCCTGAGAGCACAGTCACTGCATGATCACCTTCAGACCTCAGTCTGCGGAGTCCACCGTGGACTCGGAACCACGCCCACTCTGGGCAGCCCAGGTCTTGTCCTGGAGCTGTGGCTGGTAAAAGCAGACCAGTGTAGGTGAGAAGGAAAGGAAATATTTGCCAAAGGCAGAGCAGGGAGCCACGGAGCCATGGGAGAACAGCTGTTTAAACCCCACCTCCCCCACAGAAAGAAGACTTCTTAGACTAGGATGGAGTTTCTCTGAGCAGATTTCTGTGCATTTGAGTTACAGTCATAGGCAGTGAAAACAAGAGACACTGACCAGAAAGATATTCCAGGGCAATAAATTAGAAAAGAACTAATTTACACACATCCAGGGATAGGGACATTTCGAGATCCTTCTGAACACGTGGATCAGCCAAAGGGGCTTCATGACTAGATGTGGTCTTGGGTTCCCTGGAATGCCATGGTTTGTGGGAGACCTTCCTTAGGAAATAGCATGTTTACATTAGCCATCTCTGAAAATTAGCACTACTTTTGGGAGAGAAAAACAGTGTCTTCTGCCATAGTACTTTGGGAACATAGAACTGGCAGCAGGCGTTTTTAGTTACTGGCTTTCTTTTCTTTCTGTGGTGCTAGGGAGGGCACACAGGACCTTGTACATGCGAGGCAAGCACTTTAGCACTGAACGACATCCCTGGCCCCAATTCTAGGCTTTCTTGTTGATGGAAATGACTGGACTGAGTGGTAGGTGGGCTGTTTGCTTCGTGAGCACCGTGAGACACACAACAGGAAGGGAAGCCAGCCAAATCTGAGATCTATCACTTTTGGCTGTTAAAAGGCAGGAACGTGTGAAGAGGCCTTGGGGTGGAACTAACATTTTGCTTGCAAGCACCAGCCCTCAGCTGGCCACTTAGAATCCATGGACAGATTTAGAGAGCAGCTGAGACATGGCAAGTGACCAACAAACATCAAGCACTACAACAGGGTTGTTGCTGTTGGAACCAATTCTGAAGAATAAATTCACTCTTCTTTGTTTCTAATCACATCTTTCAGAACTTTAATCCCAGTGCCTCAAAAATACAAATCTTACATCAGGGTAAAATGGACCACTCATGTCACTGCTTGGGGTCCAGTCTTCTCCCACACAGTTCAAGTTACTAACGGGAGTCAGTACCATTAAAAATGTCCTTTATTTAATTGGTATATGCCTTCAGAATCCATTATATATTATGTATAGAGACGTGTACACACACACACACACACACACACACACACACACAGAGTCTTCCTGAATCACTGCCCATTTAGCATTTATTGTCTTCACACTCAGAAAAAGATGACAATAAAATGAAGAATTATTTCTAAAAATCAAGCCTGTATCTTTTTTAAGTTCCCAAGTCTAATTTTAAATTGGAGTTTGAGTTTAAATGTTCCAGTTATAAACACTCCTCTTTTGACTCTTGACAGTTGTAAGCACATTTGACCCAGCAGTTTGAAAAACAGGAGGGAGGTACTAAAGTGTTATTTTTCCTCTCTAGTTACATGTTTCAGAGTGAGAGAGAGAAAGTTAATGAAAGCAAGCTTATACTAGCTTGTAAGCTGTTGTTTCTGAGCATGGATCTAAATGGAGTTACAGGTTTGGGGCATCTTTACAGCTCCAGGCTCCTCAGAATACATCTCTGTGATGTTGCCTTTGCTGGGTGGGAGGCGAAACTAAGTCCTGCAGAGGGCTCTGGGTGGCTTGGCCCAGGTCCCAAACGGAAGAGAAGATTCCAATCACAAAAAGTGCAACTGTTTGAAAGGTAAAGCAGAGAAAAGGAAAGAATGAACCAAGAACAATCAGACAGACTCTAAAAGCCCAACATGTCTGACCGGGCAACAGGGGCATCTGATGCTGCACCTGACAGGAGGCAGCCTAAGGGGTGAATGGCCACACCATAGTACCCCAGGCTCAAGTGTTTCCTCTATTTTTATTTGCATGTAGTAGTGAGGGCTTCGCTTTTGTGGTTTTATAACAACTAGCACTTTAGTACATGTCACGCTTCTGGGGATCTGATCTGCTCAATAACCAAGGGGCGCCATCACCAAGGGGAGACTGCTATCAAGACAGCTCCTATGGAGGATGGGAGGCAGACAGTCAGGGTGGTACCAACAGCGAACACAGATGGCAAGTTTGTAGTTAGAGTACTAATCCATGGACGATACATCATGAGACACAGTTTGTGAGTCTCATTAACAAAGACCCTGAGAGAGAAGGTGTACTTCTCCTGTACTATTTTCTTATGCTTAAAATTTTTTTTTACTATTTATTATTTTGATTTTATGTGTATGAGTGTATTGGCTGCATGTATTTAAGTGCACCCGTGTCGTGCAATGCCCATTGGAGGCCAGAAGAGGGCATCGGATCCCCTGGAACTGGAGTTATAGATGGTTGTTAGCCACCATGTGGGTGCTGAGAACCGACCCTGGATCTTCTGCAAGAGCAGCCAGTGTTCTTAACAGCTGAGCCATCTCTCCAACTCCTATTTTCTTACTCTTAAGGGCAGAAGTTAAGAATTATCAGGTACACTTTTAGGAAGAATTCTGTTGGACCCTGTAAACAGTACTCCTGAAGACCTTCAAATCTAAAGAAAGGCACTAGAATCAACTTTAAAAGCAACTTTCAAATTCAGTTCTTTACAAAGTCACTGTATTCTGAGCAAAAGGAATAAAAATAATTTTTATCCTCATGCAATATAATTTGGCCCAATCAATAACTCTCTCATTACATTATCATATTAAAAATTAAATGAAATTAATTTCTAAGCAACTGAGCTATGCACTCACGATTGCTGGGAAGCACAGCTAGTCTCCGAGGTCTCCCTCTGACCCATCAGAAATGACATGTTTACATAGAAGGAAATCAGGGTCCCTAAACAGCCAGCCTAGAGCCTCAGGCCTCGAGGAAGAGGCCAGATGTCCCTGCTCCAGTCCCACGTGCTAGTTCTGACACAAGTGACACCCTGCATTCACATATAATTATCTAACTTTGCCGCAAAGATGCAGATATTCTTATGGTAGTGAAATTTGCTTCTTCATCCTCTTGTGTTTAAGTTAATGCTCAAATCACCTGTTGCCTTAGCTTACCTTGTGTTGCTATAATAAAATACCCATGCCTAGGTTAAGCTACAGAGAAAGGTTGATTTTGGCTCACACTTCTGGAGGATGGAAGTCTAAGAACTGGCAACAGCACATCTGCTGGGGGTCTGGTCCCAACATCGTGGAGGAGAGTAAGGGGAAATGTGTGCATGCAAAGAGGTACATATGTGCGAGGCCCAGAGGGGGTACCAGGCTTGCTTTACAACAAGTTCTTCTTGTACCTAATACAGGCTGAGCCTTCACCCACTCCATCGGGCTGGGCATCAGTGCCTTCTCAGGGTGGAGCCCCATGACCTCATCTTCCGCCACTAGGCCCCACCTTTTAAAGGTCTGGCTGCCTGTTGATTCTGCTACATGGGGGATAAAATTCCCAGCATGTGGACCTTTGGGGACAAACCACATCCAAACCTTAGCAGCTGGCCTGTCCTTCCTCAGGACCTGATGCAAAAGAGCCCTTCACAGGGGTTGGGTCATGACAAGTTGGGTGAAGAGTGGATGAGCAAAGAATTAAAAGACTGAGGGATGTATGAATGCTGAAACCATGAAAACACACATGAAGAAGAAAACAGACGCAGGTGCTGACCAAGCAGGAAGAGGGACAGTCCCACAAACGTGGGACTGATGGGCGACAGGCTACAGGAAAATCAGTCTGCTTTCCCCACGCTCCCTCTGGGGAGAGTCTCCTAATCCCAAATGTTCATCCCCCACAGAGGGAGAGAGCTGCAGCTGCCCACACACTACCCACACACGCCCTGCCCACCTCCAAGTGTGGCTGATCATCTTGGCCAGCTAAGGCATGGGAGACAGAGAGGTTCATTTCTCCTGGACATGAGGTCCCCAAACTGCAGGATTCTAGAAATGAAAATATGCTGGGCATTGTGGTGCACACTTTTGGTCCCCTCTCTTGAGAGGTAGAGGCACATGGATCTCTATGCATTTGAGGCCAGCCTGGTCTAACTAGAGAGTTGCAAGTTAGCCAGAGCAACATAGTGATCACCTCCCTCCCCCACAAAAAGAAAGTAAGGAAGGAAGAAAGATAGAAAAGAGAGAGAGAAAGGTGAAAATGGTATTTCACTGTATTTTAATGCTGGTGACGTTAAAAAAAATTTTTAATGTGTGTGAGTGTATTGTCTGCACCTGTGTCACGAAGTACCCTCAGAGGGCAGAAGAGGGTGTTGGATCCCCTGGAACTGGAGTTATGGATGGCTGTTAGCTGCCATATGGGTATTGGGATTCAAACCTGGGTCTTCTGTAAGAATAACCAGTGCTCTTAACCTCTGAGCCATCTCTTCAGCCCCTTGCTGGTGAGTTTTTAAAAATGGAGAGATTTCAAATCTAGGGCAAGGCATGGGTCTTTAAATAGGTTTACAATTTTCTATTCTTTATTTCTTTATTTATTTATTATTTATTATTTATTCCATGGTGTACATGTGGAAGTCAGAGGACAACTTACTAGAGTTGATTCTCTTCTTCTACCCTGTGGGTCCTGGGGACTGAACTGAGGCTGTCAGGCTTGGTGGTAGGCAGGTGCCTTCACCTGCTGAGCCATCTTACCAGCCCAAACAGATGTTTTCAAAAGATTTACTTTATTTTTAATGTGTATGGGGGTGTGTGTATGGGTGCCCACGGAGACCAGAAGTCACAGGCATTTGTGAGCCACCTGCCATGGGTGCTGGGAATCAAACTCAGGTCCTTGGGAAAAGCAGTACAAGCTCTTAATTGCTGAGCCATCTCTCCAGACCCCAGATTTTTTTTTTTTAAAGAAAGCAAAAGACAAAAAATATTTAAGAACCAGGGTTCTGAGCATTTGACTGATGAAGCCTTTCCAACATGTGCTTCCTCCTAGCTTGAGAACTACATCCAGGATAACATGAAGAAGGAGATGGTGGAGATCCAGCAGAATGTGGTTCAGAACCAGACTGCTGTGATGATAGAGATTGGAACCAGCCTGCTGAACCACACGGCTGCACAAACACGTAAACTAACTGATGTGGAGGCCCAAGTAAGTGAGATGGGAAACACCCAACGTGCAGCCTCAAAACCACCAGCTGGGCCTGCGTGCCATGGGCCACAGGGGGGACTGGCTGGGAAGGCTGTGGCTTCAGGGCTAGGGAGCTCAGTGACAGTCATGAATTAAGCAGCAAACCAGTCTGTCAAGAGAATCCTAGCTGTTTTATGCTATCCATACCTGAATACTTTCAGATAAATGTTCCTTTGCCTCACTGGCCTTTTCTGGATTCTAGATATTAGTTTTCCTTTCCAAATTCTGTGTTGTGTATTTGAGGAACTGAAACCATGAAGCAGACAGATGGAACCTTGTTCTTCAATTTAACTCTAAGAGATAGGACAAAACATGAAGCCAGGCGCTGTGGTGCAGAGGCAGGGGGATCTCTGTGAGATCGAGGTCAGTTACACAGTGAGTTCCAGGCCAGCTGTGGCTACAGGGAGACTCTGTCTCAAAAAGACCAAAGAGGGAAAAAGGTCTATGAACTACTGGTTTATGAATAAAATAGAGAATATGAAAATATTAAAGTAACAGCAAGACATTAAAAAGAGCAAAACAGAAACAAGAAAAATAATCCAGAGACTCCTGCTATTAATAAAGAACTCTCAGTTCTTAGATGCAGTGATTCAGGAGGGTAGACGGCGGAGGTAGCACCTTCTGCAGACGCTCCAGCTTGGGGCCTCGTCCCTCTGTGAGTGCTTTCTGAGTCCTGATCAGGTTCTACAAAGCTTGTGGAGTTAGGATCTTCGTACTGAGCTGTAGCAATGCTTTCAAAGTCAACCATGGACCCCACTGTAAACCACTCCCAGAACATACTATCCTTGTCTGTCGCTCTAGCTACAAGGGCCTATTGCTGGACCTCAGCGCCAGATGATAATGGGCAGGAGAGACATGGGCTACTATGCTCCTGAGAGGTAGAATGCTGGAGGTTTTCCTTCAGCGTCTCTCTAAAAAGAGTTTAAGTAGAGAAAACAGAAGGAAATGGCAGTAGATTAAAGACTTTCATAAAAGAATGACTATGATGTTATTGAACAATATCAGAAGTTTAGAAACAATGTAAGAAAATGGATATTTACACAGATTATAAAAATGCTAAGATTTAATCCTAGTTGGTAATAGAAGCTAAAAATGGAAGATGCAGGGGACTGGAGAGGTGGCTCAGAGGTTAGGAGCATTTGGTCCTCCCCAGAGGGCCAGACTTTGATTCCCAGCACCCGTGCTGAGTGGCTGACAGCTCCCATAACTCTAGCTCCAAGGGATCCAATGCCATCCCCTGGCCTCTGTGAGTACACAAACACACATGGTATTCATTCACACACGTAAAATAAAGACATCATTAGAAAAGAATACAATAGTTTAAAAATAATGTGCCTATTATCAGTAGTCAATTAGCAAAATAAATTGGCAATGGTTCACATTGTGCACATTTTGACAGTAAGGCTGGTGGACTACTGATCTCTTCTGAAACACGTCCCACAAGCACAATACAGCATTTCTTGTTTTTCTTAGCATGAGCAATAAGAAGTGTTAGGACTCAGAACAATCATAGAAAGCTTTGTGACATCCTGTGAAGTCAGAGTCAATGTGCTCTCGTAAGATTACACGACTTACAAAATGCTGTGATGGAATTAGATATCCTATGACCGAGGCTACAGGAAAATGGGACAGGGGTGGAAAGCAAAGAAACACACTAACACGGCCAGAATAGGTTCAAATTAAAATGTGAACACTGGTCAGATGCAAGATTTTTCTAGACTACAAGAATATAAACTGGGCTTCTTAGGTGTTGGAGGTCTGAGAGCAATTACCTGAATGTGGGCAATTCACACAGCCACCAGCCCATAAGACTGTGAGACCTGTTGTTTGAAATTTATTTTATGTGTATGAGTGTTTTGCCTAGATGTATGTAAGTGCATCATGTGTATGTAATGCTTGTAGAGGCCAGAAGAGGGCACTGGAGCTTGATCCTTGGAACCCACGTGAAAATAGCCAGACGTGGTGCCCATCTGCAATGCCAGCACTCCCACAGTGAGGTGGCAGGCAGAGACAAGAGGATGACTGAGGTGCTCCTGGGCTAGTTAGCCTGGTGTATACAGCACAGCAGAAACAAGGCGGAGGAGAGAACCAACTCCTAACAATGGCCTCTGAGCTCTACACATGCACTGGGGCACACATGGCTCCACACTCATACATATCACATGTGCATATACACACACACAAATAGTAAATAATGAAATTCTTTTTAAAAGTGATGGGAAAAAACTGCAATTACACCTAAGTCATGCTGGTTCTACCTGGCACCTTTCTCTAGGTCTCTCCAAAGCAGAATTCACTTTGTAATTCTTACAAATTAAATAGGAGGCAGATCACTCAGTTCTTTGGCGAGTAACTGGAATGTTTGTACCAGGGAATACTCAGCCTGAAACTCTAGTCACTACCAGAGGGGTTCTGGTATGACCTCACTGGGCTTGATAAGGACCAGACATGCCCAGCACCTGCCCGATGGGCCAGGCTGTGCGGATGACAGGGGCCCCATAAACAATGATTCTTTCAAGGTTCCTGACCGCTGGGCAGCACTTCCAACTTCCACTTACAGGTGATGTCACATCCTGAATGACACCACTCAAGGATGTGAGTAGTGGATTCTTCCTGCCAAAAGGCAGTCAGTTACCACAGCCCAGCTGCAAGCCCGTGTGAACACAATGGAAAAAGTGTGCTGTGCGTGTTAAAGCCCTGGCTCCCACTGCAGAGTCAGAGTTTATTGTTTCCTAATTGGTCGAAGAGATTTTTAAAATACAAGAAAAATGGCAAAGTAAAAAGAAAAGGCTTAGTAAGTGGACAAAAGCTAGGAGATCCCAGGCTAGAAATGAGCTTCATCTTCACATAAGGCAAGCATGTGACTTTTGTCCCTTTGTCTACTGACAAAAAGAAACTTGAGCAGAAAGAAATCTAACACACACACACACACACACACACACACACACACACATTAGATTTCTCTTCCTCCTACCATATGGGTTGTGGGGATTAAACTCAGGTCATCAGGCTTGGTGTTAGGCAAGTGCCTTTACCTGCTGAGCCATCTTGCAAGCTCAAGCAAAAAAATTATTTGTCTATAATTTTTGATTTATGAAATGACTAATAATCCCACCTGTCATATTATATGAAACAATGAAATACTGTAGAACTAGAAAAATACATGATTTGCTATGTATGCCACAGTCCAGAACTATTATCCACTCTCTATAATAAGAACATTTAAAAAAAGCAATACAATTGGGTATATTCCAAGGCACCAAAAACTTAGGAACATAAAACATCTGCCAAGCACAGAAAGGGGGATTCTCCAGGCCCCACCCCTGAGGAGCTATGGCAGTTGATAATCAGAGCTTTCGTTAGTATGTGGCCCATGGTAGTGTTCCCATGCTCCAGTGGATGGCCCCACACCATGCACGTGGCCCGTGGTATTCTTCCTGTGCTCCAGTGGATGGCCCCACACCATGCACATATGGGCAGCATTAATTGGACTTAGTAGGTTATCAAAAAAACCCCCAAAAAACTCATAAAACAAAAACCCAACAACAAAAAGAGGACATGAAGTTGGGAAGGGGCCATGTTGGGGAAAATTCGGGGTGCGGGAGTTAGAGAGGAGCAATGGGCTGGTGTTCATATCCCATTGTATGAAACAAGAAACTGTGTGCCGAAGTTAGACACTTGGGATAACGGTCACTCTGATCACTGAAAAGAAAGGTATAAAATGGTAACAAGTAAAGCTGATGAATAATACTTTTGTTTTGCTATGTTTAGGTATTAAATCAGACAACAAGACTTGAACTTCAGCTTCTGGAACATTCTCTTTCTACAAACAAATTGGAAAAGCAGATTTTGGACCAGACTAGTAAAATAAGCAAACTACAAGATAAGAACAGGTAACAGCACTATAAAAGCACACCACACACATGATTCAGAACTGTACCCTTTCTGAGCAATAAGCCTGCCTTACGTGACTGTCAGCTATGAGCACAGCTTCCCAAAACGATGAATTCTGCACCTACCATGGAGGTCAGAGACCAGACAGGGAGAAGACACAGTTTGGACATGGTCCTGATCTGACCAGAGCTCCTGATCAGTCCTTGACTACTTCTCATTCTGGTTTAAAGACCCTGACAGGAATCACCAAAACTGCCCCAGGTCATACTGGTTGACGCACATAGAGAGGTGGGCTAGCACACATAGAGAGGTGGGCTAGCGCACATAGAGAGGTCGGCTAGCGCACACAGAGAGGTGGGCTAGCATCACCTGAGGCACTTGGATGCTTGCTTGGGCAACATTCCTTTGCCTTTGGGGACCTTTTTTTTGTTGTTTTTCGTTTTGTTTTTGTCTTTTTCAGATAGTGTCTCACTATATAGATCAGGCTGGCCTTGAACACAGAGATACCCCGCCTATGCCTCCCCAGTGTAGGGATTAAAGCTGTGCACTACCAGGCCTGGCAGGGGGCCTTGCTTCTCACAAAAGCAAAATGACTTACAGAAGAGAAGCTATCTATTTCCTGATGTAATACTTCCTTTTAAAAACTTAATATGCAAGCCAGCAAGATGGCCCAGCAAGTAAAAGTGCTTGCTTAGCAAACCTGACGACCTGAGTTCAATGTCAGAAACCACATGAGGGTGTAAGAGGAGAGACAACTCCACGAAGTCATCCTCTAACCTCCACATGCGGGCAGTGGCATGCACACCACCCCCACACATTGCATACACACTCAATAATAAATAAAACACCCTAGCAAAAGTTAATGCTAAATATAATGGTGTTAATATTTAAATAAGACATTAAAAAATTCCCAAGACAATCTATACAAAAGCAAAATTTTCAGCTGCCATGTGTAGACTGTTTTCACATGTTCATTCTATCAGGGGACACAGGACATAATGGTAACATGTGGTGTGCTTATTTCCTTGTTCTCCACCAAAACATGCATTTGACATACAGAATGGTTCCCACAACACATCCTTTGTCTTTATCTAGAATGATAGTAAAGACTATCTCAACAAGCATTCTGTTAATCCAGAACTAAGCTGAAATAATAATAACCAAGTTTAACTTTATTTGATTTAGGGGTTTGAAAAACAAATAAATGTTTTCTTATCCAAACATTTTTCTTTCCTGTTTCAAATTTCTCTTCTGCACAGTAAGAAACTAAAGTTTGAGACCCGTAACTGGGCTAGAACAATCTTGCTGGCTGGCCTCAGTGGCAGCAATGCGGAGAACACGTAGGCACTGGTGGTAACTGCCCACTGTAACAACGACTCTCAGAAAAGTGGCGTTGCTCAGCTGGTTGAACACAGTGCTGATGACCACATCTCCCCTGGGCTTCAGGATCAGCAATATGCCCCGGGCCACTCAGTATCATCTTCATAAACTCTCCCATCTTCCAAAGCGCGCAGGGGATTGGTTCTACAATCCACCCCCCGATAGCAAAATCTGCGGACACCTGAGCCCCTTATTCAGGAAGGGACAGTATAACCACATAACCTCCATAGTCCTCCGACAGCTGAAGCCAGCTCTAGATTGCTTACAGACAGTAAGTCTGTACTAGGTGAGTAAAGGCACACTCTCTACCCCAAATATTTTCAATTCCAGCATGGTTGAATCCACAGATGCAAAATTAATAGCTCTGAAGGGTTAACTGCATTTGTCAGTATCTACCCTTCTACCCTTTACCTAGAAGAGCTTGACCCTTGCTCCTTATCTTACACTCGCCATAGAACAAGCTGCAGTCACCCGTCCAGAGAACTGCTTTGAAATACACAGGGACTTGTACATTTTAAAAATCATCTCAGAATCTGGTGAAATTTCTTCCTGCATCAAGATTTTACAAATGTTGAACATTAAATCCAATCACATTGCAGCTGGCTGTATTTTCTGGACATTCTTGCTTAAATAATCCCTTATACCTTTTTCCTAATTTAAATCCTTCACAGGTCTTTCAGGTTAATTTATGTGGATCAACAGTGCACTTTTCCAATAATTCAAACCTGATTCTGTGAGAATCAGTTTAAATAGCAAATTTTCTCTAGAAAAGAACTTTGCTAAACAGTCTAACAAAGGGTAATCTCCTAGGACTCACACCAGCAGCGGGACAGCTTCGACTACGAAAATCTGCCTCAGGAGGCCAGGCGTGGTGGCACACGCTTTTAATCCCAGTACTCGGGAGGCAATGGCAGGTGGATCTCTGTGAGGAGGCCAGCCTGGTTTATACACTCAGTTCAGGGATAGCCTGAGCTGCATAATGAGACCCCTGTGTCAACAACATCAACAACAAAATCCAAAAAAAACAAAAATCAATAATCACCACCTCAGGGACTCTGCATTAGAGACGCCCCTGGGCAGTTGTCCAGGGGACAGACACACAAACGGTAAGGTTCTGTCAGCTGATTTATCATACAAATCCGTACAAACAAGTAGTTAACAAGAATCACACCCAGCGATTTCAAGCTGCAGAAATCATCTGATCTTCTGTTACAAATATAAGATGAAAGAGTAAAGTCTCATCAATAACTTCATGAAATTTTCTTGATTTTAGATCTTTCAGTGTTTCTAGTCTTCAATTTTGACTGGCCTGAGATTTTTTTATTCCCCCCCCAAACAACAATACACAAATATGTGGTATTTCACACTTCATGAAGATTACTCAACAATTTTCAAAAATCTTCTCAAAGTGCAATTGCTTTCTTTATAGACTAGATTCAAGCAAAGCCAAAATACATACGAGGGTCAACATCCTCCGCAACCAATACTGTTGCACTTTTAAATTCGCCAGCTGAGGGGCTGGAGAGATGGCTCAGTGGTTAAGAGCACTGACTGCTCTTGCAGAGGACCCGAGTTCGATTCCCAGCACCTACATGGTGGCTACGAACCTTCCTTAACTCCAGTTCCAGGGGAATCCAAAGCCCTCTTCTGACCTCCGTGGCATTGCATGACATGAGTGCACTCACATACATGCAGACAATACACTCACACATAAAATAAAAAAGATAAAATACTTAAAAAAAAATTCACCAGCTGAAGCAGAAATGCACTTCCCATCTTCTTTTTATTCTAAAGATGAACGATTAACTTAGGGGCTGTGCGTACCTGTCAGCTAGCCCTCAGAGTGCAGGGTCACCGACACCACTTAGCTCTGAAGAGGCAAGGCTTACAACCATACTCAGGCCCTCTAATCTTCCTCCTGTATCTTATTAAAAACAGCAAGTAGGGATGCAGAGATGGCTCAGTGATTAAGAGCACTGGCTGCTATTTCAGAGGACCTGGGTTCAGTCCCCAGCACTCACCTGGTGGCTAACAACCACCTGTGACTCATGTTCCAAAGGATCGGATGCTCTCTTCTGGCCTCTGCAGGCACTGCACACAAGGTACACTTACACTCATATAGGTAAATAAAACACTCATATAGGTAAATAAAATATCAACTGCTAAGTACCTTTACTCCAGGAGTCTGCCCCTGGGAAACTGTTCATAATCTTAAACTCTTCACATTTATATATAATTCTATTCACTTGGCATTGTTTTCTCTAGTTTAATATACAGGAATCAATTCCAGTTTAAAATCCATATGCGCTTAACTGAACATATGTATAGAAGCGAGCATATCTTTATAAATTTAATTATAAAGAGAAACTATATAACCATTCATTAAACCTTTCTGGACTATATGGCCTAACTTTACCACTGCCAAGATAGTTCTTAAGTGGCTTTTCAAGGGCTTGCTCACATTTCAGTTGCTGAATACTACCTATGTGAGACAGGGCTGGTCGAATGTCCTAGAGAAGAAAGGAATCCACACTAAAGAAAGACAAATGTGGAATTCAGAGTCAGAGAGAGCTGCACTTAAATTTAGCATCATCAGCCACCTGATGGCTGTGATTTATTGTGGCGTGTGATTTATTAAGTCTAAATTTTATTCGAGTTAATTATTGGAAATAGGGACAGAATGTTGATATTAGCAATAAGTAGCACTTCCTGTTGGTTACTGTGTGCTGGGATCCAGTCTATATACACCTTTATATGCACTTCTTCCTCAGAGCAGCCTCATGCAGTGAGTAACAGTAACTCCATTTTACAGATGAGGAAACTGAGGCACAAGTCATTAAATAAATTGCTCAAACTCTTAGGGCAGAAAGCCAGGATTTAAACCTGGGTGAAATTCAAATATTCACTCCCCTCACAGAGGAGTTTCTGCAGCCCAGGATCAGGAGTAGTTGCTGTTGTCATTGGGATTAACATGAAGATATAAATAGTTTAGGAGAACAGAAACAAACTACCTAAAGGTCCGATTCAAACTCCCCTCAAGAAAAGCACTCTGAGCACAGCTTGAAATAACACCATCCCTCTTGTGAGCTCACAGCACCCAGTGTTTGTGAAACTCATGTTCCACGACCATGGCCCAGAATTATCTGGTTTTGCACAGATACAGTTATGTACTCTGACGGGAATATGTGCATAAATGGCCAATTCTGGCAATTTGAAAGACTTCTTTGGGTTCAATCTTCCTGCTTTAGAAGTACGATTAAGTTTCTACAAAATACCTTGGCAGCACAGAGTAAACAGAGAAGGCTTCATTAGCTTCGGGGAAACGGTTGGATGACTATAGATCACGTAGCTGTGAAGGCCCGAAAGAGCCGGAGTTCCCCTCACTCACACATGCCTTCCCTGTAAGTTTGCTAGAAAAGAAAGTTCTAGACATGGAAGACAAGCACGTGGTTCAGCTACAGTCAATGAAAGAGGAGAAAGACAAGCTCCAGGTGCTGGTGTCCAAGCAGAACTCGGTCATCCAGGAGCTGGAGAAGCAGCTGGTGACGGCCACCATCAACAACTCAGCCCTTCAAAAGCAGCAACATGACCTGATGGAGAGAGTCAACAGCCTACTGACCATGATGTCCACGCCAGACAGTGAGTGCCCCTCTTTGGTTTATGATCTTCGGCTAGTGAACTCTCAAACTTCCAACCACGAATCAGAAAAGGCACTCTCTTCTCAGACATTCCCTATGGTGGCTCAAGAGTCTTGTGACAGGGCTGGGGAGATGGCTCAACAGTTAAGATCACTGGCTGCTCTTGCAGAGGACCCAGGTTTGATTCCCAGCACCCATGTGGTGGCTACCAACTTTCCAAAAACTCTAGTTCCAGGGAATCTGATGCCATCTTCTGACCTCCATGGGCATTGCATGCACAGATGCACTTACATACCTGCAGGCAAAACACTCATACACATTAAAAAAAAAGTCTCAAGACAGACCCAACCACAAAGGAGGAGGAAGAGAAGGAGAACACGTATGATACTAGTTAATCAACATGAGGCAAAGCACCCCAACACAGTGTGTGCGTGTGTGTGTGTACAGGTGCGTGCATGTAGAGGCCAGAGGACCTTGGGGATCCTTCCTAGGGTGCCATTCACCTTGTTTTGGGAGACAGGGCCTCTCAACTGGGACCTGGAGCACACCAAGTAGGCTAAGCTGTCTGGCCAGAGTCCTGGGATTCCCTCATTTCTTCCTCCTCAGTGCTGAAACTTCAGGCTTATGCCACCATGCCTGGCTTTGTTTTCTACATTGATTTTAGAGGTGGAAATCAAGTCCTCAAGCCTATGAGGCAGGTACTTACTGACAGTTACCATCCAGTCTCTAAATACGGTTTTGATTCAAGGCTATAAACTGCCCATGTGGAGGCAGTTCCTTCATAGGTGAGATGGAAGATGCTGGCAAGTAATTAAACCATAGTAACTCTTAGCTCCTTTGGTTTTTAAAACGGTAGACCACTCCAGGCCTACAGGAAGGCTACAGACCGCAGTGAGATAGCTCTCCAGGACCAGCATATGGCTGGTACCAAGGAGATTCCATTTTCCTTTTCTGGCCACACCCTTGAATATATTTAGCCTTCTTCTTCATTACTGTTTTTGCCTTTCAGAGTCTTTTATACGGGGGGGTGTCCTCTAGTCATTAGAGATGTGATCTATCATCTTTGTGGCATTTTTATGTAGGATTTTTTCCTGACCAAATCCGACCTAACTCTTACTGTGACTGATTTTCCAGTGTCCTCTCAGCTGGCACTCTTGAAATGGATTTGCTTTACTGTCAATTTTGTGTCTTCTTCACTTCCAGAAACATGTGCCCCATATTTGTCCCAAGTTACACAGTTCTCCCAATTTTATCAGAAACACTAAACGAAATGCCAACAAATCTTAAATGGAGGTAGGCACAGGTTCCTGACCTGCATGCAGGGTGGTAGGAGTTTTCCAACTAGAATTTCACTATAATTTATTCCACTATCTTACAACTTCAGAAGAGCAAAGAGGTTTTCGCCTCCCTGTGGGCATCTGGCACTGGAAGAGGTACCTTTCTCTGCCTGCGATGCTCCCCTGATGTGCTCCAGTGTGCAGGACCCCTGTCTGCCCATGATGATGCCCCATACCTTCTAGTATGTGTGGAGAGCTCTGCTCTGCAAGGCTCTGGAATAAGATACAGAGAAGAACACACACATGCCACACAAACTTCTTTTTTTAATGTAGAGAGAGAGAAAGAAAATGGGAAGACCAAATGATGATGCCAGGAATAAAATTTGAAGGAATTTCATAAGAATTTTATTTGTTTGTTGAGACAGGGTCTCCCTGTAGCCCCAGCTGATCTGGAACCAGGCTGGCCTCAAACTCTCAGAGATCCAGCTGCCTCTGCCTCCCGAGTGCTGGGATTAAAGGAATGCACCAGCACGCTGAGCAAGATGGTTTTTTTTTTTTTTTTTTTTTTTGAGACAGGTTCTCCTTATAGGCCCAGCTGGCTTAAAGCTCACTATATAGACTGGGCTTGATCTCACAGAGATCTGCCTGCCTCTGCCTCCTGAGTGCTGGGATTAAAGGCGTGCCTGACTTAAAGAATTTAAATACAGAAAAATAAACACAGGGCTCCTCTAGAATGCAAACTGTTACATCACAGTTACTAAGTACTCAGAAAACACCACTTATGTTCCTTTGACATTCCTTGTTATGTGTGCATGTGTGTGTGCCTGTGTGCCTGTGCGTGTGTGTGTGTGTGTGTGTGTGTGGTACATGTGTGCATTTTTTTGTGGGTTCTGGGACCTGAACGTGGGTCCTCATGCTGGACAACAGTAGTTTTACCTAACCCTGAGCCGTCTCTCCAGCCCTCCATTCAATATTCTAAAAAAAAAAAATGATTAAAGACTTAGCCTCAAACACACACAGTGAACAGTCAATGTGTCATCCTGACGTCAGTGCAACGAGAACACGCTCTCTATTCTTATGTGATGTCTGCCGAATTCTGGTCAAGAAGGGAATTTTTTTTAAAAAAAAAGTTTACTATAGCTGATTAGGAAGTTTCTGCATCACACATAGTTGATTTTAAAAGGAAGTAAGGGGCTAGCAAGATGGCTTAGCAGGTATACATGCTTGCTGCCAAGACTAACGAGCTGAGTTCAATCCCCAGGACCCACATGGTGGAAGGAGAAAACTGATTCCTGCAAATGGTCCTCTGACCTCCACTTGTACACCATGGTACGTGCTTGTCCATACACATACACACATACTCAAAAATAAGTATATGTAATTCTAAAACAAGGACGTATGGGTTATTTGTAGTAGTCTTGCAACAAGCTGAAAGCGTAACTGGTGGGCAACAGCTAGAAACCCAGCCTGCCCTTTGTCTCTTGTGAGAACTCAAATGCCTGAGTCTTGAAGTAACGAGTTTCTGTTCACGAACTCCATTTTAATGCCCTACTGCTTTTTAAACACAGACAAGAGCTCCTTTGTCAGTAAAGAAGAGCAAACCGTTTTCAGAGACTGTGCGGAAATCTTCAAGTCAGGTATCACCACCAGCGGCATCTACACGCTGACCTTCCCCAACTCTACAGAGGAGACCAAGGTAAGGCAGGTGCTCCCTGCAACTCTGGGGCTCTCGCACCACCTCCTCACTGCAGAGGGTGAGGAGCTCCCGAGCTGTCACACCCATGCTCTCCCCAGACTCTCAAAGCAGGTGGAGCAGCAGCTTCCCTCCCCTAAAGCCTGTCCAAGGGCCCTGGTCTACCTGGAGTAATGCTGTGCTGACGGCCGGGAGCCCCCACCCTGTCCACTGGACTGTCCTGTGTTAAGATGCATGCAGCCAGGGGTTTCCCTTAAAGTGCTGGCATTGTTTCACCATTTTAACTGATTCTTCCAAAAACTGAAGTTTGATAATCAATTTGTCTTGTAATCATTTTTTTCAAGCAATACTTGTATTCTATTAGAGAAAAAAAAGTTCACACAGAGCACACCTAACACTAATTGTTCAAAAGTGGGTAACTGGGGGGTTGGAGAGATGGCTCAGTGGTTAACACTACTGGCTGCTCTTGCAGAGGACCCAGGTTTGGGTCCCAGCACCCGCATAGCAGCTAACAACTGTCCGTAACTCTAGTTCCAGGGAATCCAATGCCCTCTTCTGACTTTTGACATTGCACGACATGGGTGCACTTACATATACGCAGGCAATACACTCATATACACAAAATAAAAATGATAAATAAAATACTCGGGGAAAAAAGTAACTGACTGGGTAACTGTGGTATCAGATGTGGTTTGTACATATTACCCTTCTTGTCACATGGACCTCAGAAAGATGCTCAACAGAAGGCTAATGAACTCAGTTCCTTTGACCGAGCCAGGACTCCTTGAGCCCAGAGTTCAAGACTAGCTTGATAACAGAGCCAGACCCTCAACAAAACCCCACAACAAAGGTGGATTTTACTTCTCTGACGGAATTCCCTGGCATTATGTGCTGTTCCCTCTCTAGACTGGGTATGGGCCGAGCAGAACACATGGTGCCAGCACGTCTGGCGTTGGCCCTGCTTCATGCCAGGGCGCTGGCTGGCTTCACCAGTCGCTCTGCACTGTGTAAATGCTGACAGGATGACACGACCGAGTCACCGGTGGAACAACTATTACCTTGTGGAGCTGGTCACAGGGTCTCTGTGAAGCCCAGGAGGCCACAGCTCACAGCAGGAGGCTATGACCTCATCCAGTGCAATCTGAAAGATCTAAGCACACCACCAAGACACTGTCTCCTTTTCTTTCCAGCGTCAGGGAGTTCATTCAGTGTCTGTTGAATTAGCCTGTGGAAAGTGGATGGTCCTCCAGCCCTTTCCAGCAGTGGGTCAGCACCCAGGCAGACTCGACCATCCACAGGCATCCTGCGTTACTGTCTTAAGAGAAAATCGCTTCCCCGTGGCTTCTCTTAGAGGCCTGATGGGGTAGACTGACAATTCAGGCATCAGTATGAGGGTTACGTAAATGGAACTGCTGCATATGCTGAGTGTTGACAAATAGGGCTGCATCTAAACTGAAAAGCAGCAGCTGTGCACTGAGCCAGCACAGCTCCAAGAGAGTACACAGGATACTAATGTACATTTTAGAGGCTCCTGGAAGTCGTGTCTGTTTGAACTCAGTATTATCTTCAGAATTTAACATGGTATCAAAGAAAAATACAAGCGTTTAAGGATTTAAAGATGTGGAATTTGAAACAGTAACATACACTTTGATTATGAATTAAAAGATAGATACTGTGCTGTTTAAGATAATACGTTCCAAAGAAATCTTTCTAATTCATTCATGCTGCTGTAAATCAACCTTGAAAATCAGTTAATGTCCCTGGAGGCTGAGAAGCAGAGCATGGGGCGGAAGAAACATGCACAGCTTGCTACAGATGAAAAACCATTAACCCCAGGCTGCGCCTCCATCCCCGCAGCTTCCAGCTTGCACAAATGCTGTGTTCTATCACCAGATGCTTGTGTGCGCTTGGCCTGGTGATAACGGGAATGAGAGCACCCAGGGTGGACCAAGGACATGAGCGCACTGAATGCTTCCCTCACAGCTCCTAGGGGATGGCACTGCTACACAGCCTGCCACGCACCTCTAGGGATGCTTTTCTGCCTTTGCCTTGTCCCTGACAAGTACCATGCCACCCTGCCGGGCTGGCGGGTACACTCTGCACAAAGATGGAAAGATCTAGTACTCTGGATCACGTGCCTCCCAACATGGGTGGAAATGGTAGGACATTAGACATTTAGGCAGTCTCAGTAAGAATAAATTCATTTATATAAGCTTTCAAAACGACAGTCTTTCTCAAAAATAAATGGTCTATGAGCAGAGATGGCTCAGTGGGTTCAGGTACAAGTCTGATGATCAAAGTTCTATCCCTGGACCCCAGGTGGAAGGAGAGAACCAACTCCCAAAAGTTGTCCTATGATCTCCACATGTGCCCTGTGGCAATATACATGCCTGCATTCACACACATCACACACAATCAATAAAATGCAAAAATTAAAATAAATGGGAGCTGGAGAGATGGCTTAGTGCTTAAGAGCACTGGCCGATCTTGCAGAGGATCCAGGTTCAGTTCTCAGCATTTACATATATGCAGCCAATACACTCATACACATAACATGTAAATAAATAAACAAATGGGCTAGAGCATTACCTCTAAATTCCTTTCTGGGCTTGAGGTTCTATTAATTGACAATTTGATCTAGGGAGAGAGGGTTAGATGGACTTGGATTCAGGTCCAGTTCTGCCAATGTGTGGCTCTGATCCCTCAAGCTCCTGACCTATAACATGATGGTGTCACCCCACCTTGCAGGTTGTGACAACCACAGCATAGCGTCCAGGATGGTTTTGTAATTAACAAACACGAGGTTTGCACAAGAGACCATAGCAGACATGGGTCACCTAATTTAAGGAAAGAATGCCCATACCAAAAGTCTTAGTATTGTAACTTTATATTTAAAAAATTTACTAGGTTTTCACACAGGACGCACATCACAAAAGGCATCTGTGAGAAGCACAGGCCCATGCTTTGCTGGTTGGAACCATAACAGCTTCCCTCCCCAGGTTTCCCAGGACACCTGACTTCTAATGTTCTCCCATATTTGCTATTTATTCACTTAGCCAGAGCCTGGAGCTGAAGCAGAGCACTTAAATCAGGCATTACTTCTTGAAAAGCTTCAGATTTCACAGGCAGACCATAGGTCCCTGTGCTGGGCATGGTGTGCAGATCCAAAGTGCCAAGTGCCTCCAGGTCTGTGGCAGCAGGGGTGGTGAGGTCCTGGTCTTTATCTAATTCTACTGTAGTTCTGATCCTGGCATGAGCCAGTTCATTATGTTCACAGAGGCTTCCTGGCCATGTGATAATTCTACTAAAATGCTATCTCTCTTTGCGTGTTCCACAATGCAATGAACCATAATTCACATTCTCACAAATGCTTTGTTCTTCCTTTTTAAAAAATCTGGACAAAGTATTAAGAGAATGTTGTAGTAACTTTGACATGGTCACTTAATGGAGTCAAGGAGGATAATAACAAAGCTCAGGCCGTTTATTTATGCACCGGCAGTGACCCTGGACATCCGAGAGTCCTGCTTCTGGCTTCTGCAAGATAAACTGGTCCTCTTCACAGGAAAGAACCTTCTTAAATTTCGCCAAACTACTAAGTCCATGGTGACTCTGACATTGAAGAGTCAGGTATTAGGACAGGAGTGGGCTCACTAGGAGCATCTCTTTCAACCTACCAGCACCACTGTTCTGTGCACAACCCCTGGGTCCAGCTCTAAACCCAGTGCAGCTTGCTCAGTTACTTTACTAAGTAGATTTTTTTTTTTTTTTTTCGAGGCAGGGTCTCCCTGTAGCCCTATCTGGTCTGGAACTCACTATATAGACCAGGCTGGCCTCATTCTCACAGAGATCTGCCTGCCTCTGCCTCCCTGAGTGCTGGGACTAAAGGCGTGTGCCACCATGCCCGGTTACTAAGTAGATTTTAAGGGAGCAGTGACGGGACGGCACAGCATTTGCTCTTTGGTTGATCTCAGGAAAATAAGACCAAAGATTGCTCAGGAGCCGATTTCAAACAGGAAGTGAGCTAAGGGACCTGTGAACTGTTAACAAAAGGGTCAAGTTTCTCTGCTTTGAGTAGCAAGATGTAGTGGAAAAAATATTCTGGAGGAATTAAGGAGATGGTATTCAAATCCTACTCACCACTGATAGGCGAATGACTGTTCAAATTAATCAATGTTTATCGTTTTAAAGAATTCAGAGTAAGCCAGATGTGGTGGTGCACATCTTTAATCCCAGCACGCAGGAGACGGAGGCAGAGGTGGGTGGACCTCTGTGAGATCAAGGCCGGCTTGTCTACATAAGACTTTGTTTCAAAAAACCCAAACCAAACGAAACCAAAAAACCAAATAAGAGTTCATAGCAGTTGTGAGATTGCACGTGATTCATGAGAAATATCTGACACAGCACGCACGAGGGTTGTATGACAACAGATAATTAATAAAAACAGCATCAACGCATGGTGATGAGAATGGGGGGGGTGTCAGCAAATCTACTTTATGTATTTGATTAACTTAAACTAAGGAAATAATCTTCTTGTAAGTAAATATAATCGTTTCATGTCACCAGTCTTTCTAAATACTATGATCCCTGAGGAAGGTGAGAGGCCCCGGACCTGATGGTGAGGTCCGAACAGCAATGTCAAGATGTCTCAACAAAGCAGTTCCACTAAAGGTTTTCTGAGTCCATGGATGACGCCACTAAAGGTTTTCTGAGTCCATGGATGACGGAGGGGATAACATGGCGGCCTCCATGGCTTCCTTGGGGCTCTGATTCCTAACAGGCAGCATGAACAGACTGAGAGGCTTTTGTGGTCTCTTAGCTCTCATCCATAGGATCCTAACTCATAAATACTGAGCAGCTCATATTTAAGTTGATTCTGCCAAAATGACCTTCCTTTTTCTCCAACAACCACGGCACAAAACAAAAGAGGAATATTTATAATTGGTTCTGAGCCTAACATTTCCTACCTTGTGTGCTGGGGAATTATCTTATTTTCTGGAAAACTTATTTTTTTTTGTCCTACTATAATCTCATAATTGAAAACTATTTAAGTAATCTTATTTTCAAGGGGTTTTAATTTCATAATAAAACTCCAGCTGAGTTGAAATTAAGCATGCATGCTCTTAGCCCAAAGAATTCTGTGTTCTGGACAAAGTTTAAGACCATTGAGCTAGTTTAAAAGCAGAGAAAATACTGGGGAAAAATGCCACAGGCAGCAGGGGAAGAGTGTAGAAACTGTATCAGCCCTGGAGTGCGCAGTCGCCAGGCCAAGCTGGGTCACAGGGTGCTGGTGCTCTGGAGCTCCCAGGCCCTCGTGGGCAGGGATGAATGGAAAAACTGGCTTTCACTGCACACAAAGGAAGCCTAACACCTCACAGCATGACAGCGTGATCTGAAAAGGCTGTAACTAAAAAGTGGATGGAGCTGGCAATGAGAGGTCTAGGGCTGTGAACACAAGTCTGTGGTTTTCTACAGGTACCTGTTTCAAGGAGAATCTGCCACAGCATCCCAATCACAAGGACTCTAAAACAAATGTGGGGGGCTGTTAGCTCAGAGCACATGATGCCCAGAATATCTGGTCAGTGTTGCTGAGACCGCTGTTCCCTGTCCATCATCATTTCACATTTCCAACACACTCTAAAAATCCGAGAGCAAAGATTTACCCCAGGCATCATCTCGAAGGCCCTTGGGACCATGTCTCACAGTAGGTGCCTAGTCTCTTGGTTATGGAGATGAAAGCCTTGGTCGCCAGTGTCTAGCATGCAGTGACTCTGTGCTTCCCACCTGCAGGCCTACTGTGACATGGAGACAGGCGGAGGTGGGTGGACAGTCATCCAGCACCGGGAAGACGGCAGTGTTGACTTTCAGAGAACGTGGAAAGAATATAAAGAGGTATAGATGCATGTTAAACCACCTCAGGGAAATAATTTCCTTACGGAAAACTAAACTTCAAGATCATGAGAACTTTAACCACATTCTGGATTAACTAATGACTTCTGACGAAATTACTCAGGTCGAGCTCTTTCTGGTGGGCATTTCTGTCTCCCTGTTAAACGATGGTGGGACCAAAGGTCCTGAGCACAGATGGTCCTGGCTGAGCTGCTACGCTGTGAGGCTCCCCACACCTGGCACACACAGCACTGTTAGAGCTCTGCTCGTGGTCCCCGGGGGTTTCTCACCCTTCTTCATTAACTGCATCTCTGCCTGTGGCTCTCCAGGTCCCTCTGACTATTCTAACAGTAATTTTTCTCCGGAGAACTGCCTAGTTCCTTAAAATTGAGTTCTGAGCCGGGCATGGTGGTGCAGGCCTTTGATCCCAGCACTCAGGAGGCAGAGGCAGGCAGATGTCTGTGAGTTGGAGGCCAGCGTGGTCTCCATAGTGAATCTAGGCTGTGGCTACAGGGAGACCCTGTCTTAAAAAAAAAAGACCAAAAAAAAAAAAAAAATCTATTTCCAGAGCTGGGAAGATGAGTCAGAGGATAAACCATTTGCTGTGCAAGCACGAAGACCTGAGTTCGAATTCCCAGAAGCCATGTAAAGCTTGACACAGCAGCTCTCATCAGGAATCCCACGGAAAGATGGGAGCGAAAGGCAGGAAAATCCCAGAAACTCATGGGCCAGCTAGCCTGGCATATGTAGGTGGTGATGAACCTGACCTGCCTCAAATGCAGTGGAAGGTGAGGGTCAGCACAGAAGTTGTTCTCTGACCTCCACAGACATGTGTTAAATTGATTTTTAGATCTATATCCTGTATGTGAGACTTTGCATTTCCAAAGCACAGGGCAGGGAGTCCCAGCCTCGGCTCTGCCTATGCGAACCGCGGAGCTGCTCACTTCCACACAAAGTCCCAAGTGGACTAACTGCCTGTCTCCATCTGGTCGCAGGGTTTCGGCAGCCCTCTGGGAGAGTACTGGCTGGGGAACGAGTTTGTCTCACAGCTGACAAATCAGCAGCGCTACAGGCTGAAGATACTCCTGAAGGACTGGGAAGGGAACGAGGCTCACTCCCTGTACGAACAGTTCTCTCTCTCAAGCGAAGAGTTCAATTACAGGTAAGGAAACTGTCACTGACAATAGAGAAACTTCCGGGTAATGATCCTGTAAGCGGGAGTCATTCTCCAGCCAAGATCTAGACCTGTGGTACCTTATTCCGTCTTCGTTTCCTAGGCATTTGTGCCTAAATACTTTTCTCTAGGTTTAAAATTCTAACTTTGGCTGGGGATACAGCTCACTGTTGTGCAGCATGTGCCTAGCATGGACAAGACCCCAAATCTAATCCCAAGACTACAATATCAGAGAGAGATTTCTAACTGTGGCTAAAATAATGCAAAGGAAATTTTGTGTCTGCTCTAAGATGAGTGGCAGACGATGCTGCAGACATCCCCACCTATAGAATTAGTGAATGCTAAGTGTCCCTTTTATGATACATTATTTACTGCAACAAATAGACACCTGGGGGGCATACTATTTTCTTTTCAGATACTGAAAGTTAACCTGTGTTTTTGAAGTTTAAGCAGTTAATTGTTGCATTCAATCTGGAATTCAGAATTAGGTGGGGTGGTTATTCTATCCCTCTGCTGAAAGTTAACCTGTGTTTTTGGAGTTTAAGCAGTTAATTGTTGCATTCAATCTCAAATTCAGAATTAGGTGGGGTGGTCACTCTATCCCTCTGCTGTCTGAAGTAGAAAGCACAGATCTGAGTCACCATACCACCCTCCCCCACAGCATTTGTCTCATACCCACCCATGATGGCAAGGATCTCACATGTTCCAACAGCACATATTTGGCTTCTGTGTGGATGCGCCAGTGTACGCGTGCTCTCAAATTCATGCTCCACAGAGATATTGGGGAAGGGGACTGGGTGAGTAGCACCAAAAAAGCTGGTGTGGGCACAGCTGAACATCGGAGCCCAAAGAGCCAAAGCTCATGGTGTTTGGAGTCCACAGAGCACACAGTAAAACGTGTTGAGGCCACAGAGAGCAAGTGACACCCAACAGGCCTCTACAGGGAAAGCCGAGGCCCACAGTGCCACCTCCATCTCAGTGGCACCCAGGCTCTGTGAAAGAAAGCTTAAGACGAATGTCAGGACTGGCGTCCTTGGAGATCACAGTGGACAGCACAGGGAGGCTGGCTGAGAGTCTGGGGCCTGACCCCTGAGCTCCATGATGCCCAGCACAGTCTGCTTTACAGACAGTGGATGAGGATTCAGAAGCCAACAGACAAAGCCTGGTGTGACTTTAAAGCAGTCTGTGAGGCAGCCAAGGAATCCACACAGAGCAGGGCTGCCCTGGAGGAGGCAGGTGAACGGACAGATGCTTGGCCCGCCCCCAGTGGTCCCACCTGACTCAGAACCCAGAAGTCAGTGAATTCTGAGACCCAAGTGGTCTCTATTGTGCTGTGTCCAAGCTAAATATTTTCTCAACTGGAAACAGTTATGAATCTATAGTAGAGGAATTAATTCTTTAAAAAAGAAACAAGTACAAAAATGAAGGATTAGCCTGTTTATATAAGATGATTTCACTAAACGGGTCATCACCTTACACACTGACACTGTAAAAATTACTTTAAACTGAGATGGTTCTGTGTGGCTCTCTCCTTTGACATACAATCAGCTTTAGAATATGCCATTTGAAAAAAACATACTGCTTTAAAGCTTAGGTGGAAAAAGAAGACAGACACTCCCTTGCCACAGAATGATAGCGCGGTAAGAGGACCGTGACGTGACTGAGATTCAGTCACCATGACACTTTGGAGAGCTCACTCGTGGCTGCTTGTCCGAGGAAAAACAATAATAGGAGAACTGAAAAGTGCGTAAGACAGGAATGCACAGCAACGGGGCAGGTTCTCTCTCTCTCTCTCTCTCTCTCTCTCTCTCTCTCTCTCTCT